CAGCCCGCCTACCCGCCCGCGGCCATGGCCGTCCGGCCCGGCCTTTGGCCAGCGCTCCTGGGCATAGTCTTCGCCGCCTGGCTCCGCGGCTTGGGTGAGTCACGCGCGCGCTCTTGGGAGGGTTGCGGGGGACTGCGCGCGAACGCTTGCTGCACTGGGGGTCCCTGACCCGAGCTGCCGGACCCGGCTGGGAGCCCCCCGAGGCCAAACTTTGCGAGGCGGGACGTGGGGTCTGCTTCTCACTGCTGCACGGCTTCCCTGCGCTCTTCTCCGGAAGCCTGGGTTCTGCCAAGTCCAGGAGCAGCTGTCGGCGCACGGGGCTCGCGAGTGTAGACGCCCCACGCCTCCGGGCGGGGGAAGTTTGCTGTTTGCCCTGCCTCAGAGCAGGGTCTGGGTTTGGATCTACGCCCCGGAGAGCCTGACTTTGAGGGTCATATATTAGAGGGTTTTGACCACATCCCAGTGCCCAGGAAATCGAAAAGGGGTATTATTAAGATACCTCTTGCGGGTAGCATCTGCCCCACACAGCTACTCACCATCTCCCAGCTTGGCACCTGGCCTCTGCCCACGTCCGGAACACAGTGTCCTCCTCTGTCCCTGTCACACACGCTCGCACGCGCACACACTAGGGCATGGAGGCACATAACACGGCCTCCGGTCCTTTCAGCCGTCATAGTCATAGCCAACGCACCATGGCCCCAGCTGAGGCTGGGGCTCCTCTCCTCCCTGGTGCTTAGGACCAAGTTGTATGCAGTGGGCCCAATGCCCCTTCCCCTTCTCTTTTCACTCCACCTTCCTCATCCTCTCCTCACGTCTGTTTGGCTACCCTACCCCTAACTTGCCCAGTTACTCTACCTTCAACTAACCTCCTTTGGAAGGGGGGGGGGGTCCCTTGCATCCTTTGTCTGCTCACCCTGAGCTTCCACCTAGGCTGAGCTGAGCTGTTGGGGCTTCCTGATCTCTGCCTCTCCCCCCACCCCAATGCACTTAGCTGAGCTGAGCTGTGTGTACGTGTGTGAGGGGGTGTCATCTGTATGTGTTCAATGTGTGTGTGTGTGGGGGGGGTTATGAGGCTTGCCCTAGCAATTCTTGATTCTTGCTGCCTGGAGCACCTGGTGGGGGGGAGGGGGGCGGTGAGAGGAGCACTGAGAAGGGAAGTGCCTTCCAGTCTGGTCAGACCACTTTTAATCTCAGGAGTGTCAGAACCGAGCTGGGGTACCTGCAATGTGAAGCCAGACTGATAGGAGATCAATGCGTGAGACTTCAGAGACCAGCCCAATGATTGAGGCTGATGGCTGTTTCCTTAAAGGGTCTCTGCGTAGCGTCTTGCACCCACCACTGTCTGACTGCTCTCCCCATCCTGATCCCCTCAGTCCTTTCTCCACCCCACCCCATCCCACCACGCTATCTTCCTTCGCCATCAGTCCTTTATTCCTCCCTCTCCCGCCACCCTATACTGCTTGCCTTATGGTCTCCCCTCCTAATCCTGGTTAGGTTCAGAGGCTGTGCTGCCACTGGGTTTGTATTCATATTGCACACACGTGTGTATTAGGAGTGTGTGTGCAAAACTCTGCAGGTTGCACCGACGACCATGGTGAACTGGAGGTGTCCGTGCTGTACACATGAGAGAGGTGTTGCCAGGTACCGAGTCTGTGCCCAGAAAATGTGGATGGATTGGATGTATGTGACAGGGCTGTGTGGTCATATATTTGCATGTTGCCCACGTGAGCACGTGTGAAGGCTGTGGGTGGCATGTGTGCCCTGGTGATGGCTGGTGCTGGCAGTGTGGGCAGCATGGGTATGTGTGGCCTGCTGCACGTGTGTGATGGCTGTGAGCATTAGCCCAGGTGAGCATGTGTAAATAAAGGGATGACAGAGCGGGTGATTCAGGGTGCCGCAGCCTGGGGGGAGTGCCACATCGATTCCTTAGGTGGTTCTAGAGTGGGGGAGCAGCATCCCTGGTTGGTGGGGCACCTGTTGGGTCCTGCTTCAAGGTTGTCCCTGAAGCTGGCAGGTGGGCTTCTGTGCTGCAGGGCAGCCCTGGAGCACAGCCTGCCTCTGGGCATCAACTGTCAGGCCTGTGGGAGGAGCTGCCGAAGGGGATGCCACCCACCCCACCCCTCCCCCTCTCATCTGGGACCGCTTGCTGTGGGTACATGTGCCCAGGCAGCCTGGCCCTGCAATGACCCCGCTCCTCCCGCACCGCCCCGCCCATCAGCTCCTCAGCAACAGCAACCAGAGAAAAATGTGTCTGTGAGTGGCTGAGGGAGGGACGGCCAGACGGGCGGCAGGGGGCGCCGGGGGCTAGCATGTCCACAGCCTCCTGCTCCCCTGGCCGGCCGACCACCACCCTCTGTCGCCTAACATCACAAAAGCCTGACCCTTATGAGGGTCGGCCCCTCTCAGCCCACACCCATAGGGACCTGCCCACTCATACCCAGACACAGCTGGCACCTGCCTGCCCGCCCTGTGGCCACACACATCTGAGAGTCTCCTAATCATATGGGTCTCTGCCCTCCTGGGGGGCTGGCTTGCCCGAAAGATCTGGCTGAGGGGCACCAAGCCATGGCATTGTCCCAGCAATCTTCCCAGGTGACCCCTTCCTCGGGGCTGGTCCCAGGCCCTCTGTCCACCTCCACCCCCAGCTGGTGCAGTTGTTTGGAAGGAAGGTGTCTTAATTCTTTAGGGCTAAGCGATACCCTGCTCTCACCCAGCCTTGGAGGTGGAGGGGGGATAGGTTTAGGACCCCCCTCCCCGCAGGTAAGAGAAGGCTGGTTCTCTCAATGCTCAGGCTGCTCCCCCTTGCCCTGTTGGGAGGGGCCTCTCTCAGGAACCAGGGGATTGACATTGATCCTGGTGCCTGGCCTGCAATGAAGAGACATTGACCTGGCTCCCGGGGGGCTGGGCAGCTCATCTTATATCCCTTCTCCTGTCTGGTGCTGCTCTTGGTCCCTGATGTGCAGTCTCAATCCATGCAGTCTAGAAGACAAGAACCTGCCCTAAGCTTGGAGTGCGAGACCTTTCTCCAGACAGAGACCCCAGAGCTGGGCCTGGTTGCCTCCTCAGAACACACCTGCATGCTAGACCTGTCATTCTAGGCCAGCCCTTTCCTGTGCCCACGCCCTGCCCCCTTCACCCCCCAGCCCCAGGGATGGAAGCCTTAGCGTCCCAGCTCCCCGTTCTCCTCCGCGCTTCATGTCTAATCCATCACCAAGGCCTCCGGCTCAGCCCTGCTTGTGACACTGCTTGTTCTCCTCTCCTTTGTCACTGCCCAGCTCCTTTCTCCTTCACCTTTTTCACCAAGACCAGTGATCACTCCCCTCCTGTGCTTCCTCAGCTTATACTAATGTCCCTTGTACCCAAGTTGGAGCTCCACTGGAGAGCCTTCAGAGACTCCCCTGTATCTGCAGGTAATGTCCAACCCCAAGCGTGGGGCCCATCACCAAGCTGCCAGCATGCATCGCTTGGCTAGTCCAGCATGAGGGTGGATGTCCTCTGGGCTCTGACTGGCTGGCCGTTAGGCGTCTGCACTCCCAGATAAGCTCTGCCATCCATACTATAGCCCCCTTGCCTTACAGGACCTGGCCTGCCTGCCACAATCCCCACACTATACCCCAACATCCTCGCCTCTGTCCAGTCCTAGGTCAGGCCCCCCCTGCTGCTTGCCAATCCCACACTTTTCTGCCTGTCCCCCGTTTCAATCCAACTCCCTGCAGGCATCTGGAGCTGCTCCCAGGGCCCCATGCAGGGGCCACAGCACACTCATGAGCTGTGAGCAAAGCCACAGGACAGAGGTACTGAGTCCTCAGCCCTGGAAAGGCACAAGGACTAGGCAGCTGTGGGGGGCCTCCATCCAGAGCCCCCACCTACTTCGTCATTTCCTCTGGTGCTTTCATAGCACCGTCCTTGTCTCTGCACCATGACCCTGCTCTCAGGCCTCAACATGCTCAAGTCCTAGCCAAGCAAAATTTTTTTTTTTTTTAATTTCTTCAGCTTGAATTTAGGCTCTCTGACTGGGCAGGGAAGGCCACTATAGATGGGAAGGGGCAGAAAAGTTTGCTCTGCTTTCTTCAGCAGCCCTCCCATCCCTGGCATGGGACACAGACCTGCCCTCCTCTCCAGAGAGGCTGAGAGTGGTTCCTGGGCATAGATGAGCAAGGTGAGGTCCCACCACAGGGTGGCTATGCCACAGCCACATGTCAATGGCAAACCAACTCACGTGAACATGTCTGTGGGTCCCTCATATGGGCCATGCACCCAGGAACCTCCCTGCCCACCCCCACCTCTCCAAGCAGAGATGATCCCAGGTGGGTGTCTTCTGGGCCCCAAACCTGCAGATTCAAGCCCCTGGAATGTGGCACTGCCTGTCTCCATCCTCACAGTCTGCTCTGGTGGCTGACCCCTGCCACTCCTTACCTCAGGCTGGCACTGACACTAGCACTTCCTTGCTCTGCGTAGCACCTACGAGATGCTCCTGGTTCCTACGGCTGAGTTCCAAGAGACCTCAGCCCTGGGCCCTGGCCACCCTCACTGCCCAGATAGACTCAGCTTCCTGTGATCAGTGCTACTGGCCCACCTCTTCACTCTGCTGGTTGGCTGCAGGAGAGTGATGGTGAAGGAGCCTCCTGCGTCTGGGGAGCTTGCGCCCCATCTTCAGTCAGATGGAGTAAAAAAAGGCAGGGGCTTTGGAGGTAAATAGAACTAGGATTGAGTCTAAGCCACTTGACTCTGGAAAAGTAACTTTTACTCCTTGGCCTATTTCCACATCTATAGAATGGGGTCACGTCTACTTCCTGGGATTATAGGGGCAGGTTTAAGAGTGACATAGAGAGAGAGCCCCAAGGTAACCCCTGGCATAGAGCTTATGACTTGTGTATCTCCCCCCCTCTGTTTCCTCTGGCAGTTGAAGGGGCACATATTAGGACAAATATCTGGGATCTTAGGATGCAAAACTGGAGTCTTCAGGGCCCAAGCCCAGAGGTTGGAAAGAAATTATGTGTAAGCTGGATGGGGGAATCAGTCTTCACCTCTGGCTGCTCCAGCTCCAGGTGAAACCCCAAGGGGTCATTGCTTCTGGGTGGAAGATGCCCTCTG